GCAAAAAAAATGTACATTTTATCAAGCTCAGCTACTCTACCCTATCTATTCTTAAAGAGTTTATTTATCTCCCTATGGATTTTGTTTTTACTCATTAAAATTTGAGACTATACTTAATTGTTTCAATATCAACACAAAGGTTATATACTCTAATGAATTATTTTTACATTTTTAAAGATGCCTAAATGGGTTATGTCTGTGATATATAGTGGAAGATAAGATTAGTTTTCATTGGCAGGCTTATTGCATGTAAACATGACAAATATTTGTAAATTGTACAATACATTGTTCTTAAAATGTTTTAAACACTTTCTCATGTTGCTTCCACAAGAACTTTTTCTCAAGTTGTAAAGTTTGAATAAAAGAAAAATGTGATCTTTGAACCTTTAGATTATGTGTTTTATTCAGATTTCAGTTCAGTGGAGCTCTACAGGAATTTGTGAGGCTTACAGCAGTATTTGCTACTTTCTCCTGAATTCTTTAAAAATCAATTAATGCAGATTGAGAGGTGGTAGAGAACTTTAAAGGAAATGGCATCCTCCACAAAAGGAAGAATATATTTAAATTTGATTCTCTATGTTGTCAAGTATATATTGCTCCCTATTTAAAATAAATTTATGGATTACTATCTTTAGATGTATTTTATATAATGCACGTTCAGTATTGGCAAAATGAATAAAACTGCAAAATAATAATTGCATGAGCAAAATATGAGGTTTAAGTGGTAAGTTAAATAATAATGTATACAAATATTCATTTCTTTATTCTGTTTGCACTTTCAAATATCTATACTCTAATTTCATTCATTGCCTCTTTATTTATTGCCTTTTTAAATGTTTTCCTAAAATTATAAAAATAGCTAAAACAAAGCAAAAATAGCTGTCAGTGCTAAAAAGGATTTTCCAGAAATAGGGTGAGGTGTTTGGTGAGTAACACCCAATAAGATGCACTTGCTTCCTTTAAAAGCTCGCATCTTGTATCAGCAAATATGCTTACTGCTGAAATCTCTGTGATTTTTATCACTGAAGGAATTTTATTCTGAAAGACACAAATGTGTGATATGAAAAGGGAGTATAAAATAATCTGATACTTCTGTAAAAAGTATTATTTAATATCAAAACTTATAGAAAAGCAGTGATCTGAACTCTGTTTATTGTTAGGAAATGGATGTTTAAAAATAGACTGGTGATGAATGTACTTAAATATAGCTGTAGTGGCTACCTGTTTCAAGCATCATGTTTTGTACATCTTTATGTTCTTATGTTCTCTAAGAAGTCAAAACCTATGCATGTCTTTCTGTGTAGGCTTACAATATATTATGAAAATAATTTATAAATATACTCTGTTTATTGTTAGGAAATGGATGTTTAAAAATAGACTGATGAATGTACTTAAATATAGCTGTAGTGGCTACCTGTTTCAAGCATCATGTTTTGTACATCTTTATGTTCTTGTGTTCTCTAAGAAGTCAAAATCTATGCATATCTTTCTGTATAGGCTTACAATATATTATGAAAATAATTTATAAATATATTACATATTCTTCTTTCCCTTAGGTGAAAAATTTTGCTGTAGTTTACCTCGTAGATATCACAGAAGTACCAGACTTCAATAAAATGTACGAACTGTATGATCCCTGTACAGTCATGTTCTTCTTCAGGTATATTTTCATTCTTTCATTGCTTTTTAACCTGCATGTTCTCAGTAGGGTTTTTTTCAGTGGTGGTGGGGGTTACAGTTCCTGCCTAATTGTGTATGTTGTGTAATATCATTAAGCTACAATCTAAACCTGAAAGTAACTTCATTGGGATTGATGTTGTTATGCAACCAATATTATAGCTTACTAGCTGGCAACAAACCGGCATTAGTAAGCATCATAAAGCAGGGGTGAAATCCAACAGGTTCTGACAGGTACTGCAGAACCGGTGGCGGAAATCTTGATTAGTTCGGAGAACTGGTAGCAGAAATTTTGAGTAGTTCAAAGAACTGACAAATACCTCTGGCTGGTTCGAGAGTGGGGTGGGAATGGAGATTTTGCAATATCTTCCCCCCAGGAGTGGGGAGGGAATGGGGATTTTGCAATATCCTTCCCCTGTAATGGGGTGGGAATGGAATTTTGCAGTATCCTTCCCCTACCACACCTGCCACGCTAAACCCACCAAGCCAAGCCACGCCCACCAAGCCACGCCCACAGAACCAGTAGTAAAAAAATTTGAATTTCACCACTGTCATAAAGGTAAGGCAAATGGCATTCCCTTACCATAGATAGTCTTTGCTTGCCAGCTATCTGATTTAGCAATCATTCAAAGTTACAATGGAGCGGAAAACAACACATAGCTTTGCAGTCAATCCTTGAATTTATCATTGTTGCAGTATCCCGCAGCCAATGTGGCTGCTGTTGGTGTGCTTTGCAACTGGCTTGCAATAAGCAGAGTTAATGGAGAAGGCAGACGTGAAATCATAAATCACGGCCATATGATGTTTCATGTAATGCCCGAAGGGGAACTGAGATCATAAGCTTATCACAGTTGCACCGTTTTTCTGTTTTGCAGTTGTGGCGCTTGGTTACAAAATTGCTGGTTGCAATTGTGGTCGTTAAACTCGGACTACCCATAGTTAGTGTACCTCCACTTGTCCCATATTTCATTCCTATTAGACACTGCTTTAATCAAAATAGGTCATGCAAAACAGCTTGATAGAGTTTGCAATGAAAGTGGCACTCCCAGTTAGAATTATATATTGGTTTTTGCATATAGTTTACAGAACTATTCTGTATGTAGTTACTAAGAGGAAAAGGCCAGCATAACTATTGGCCTTCTGTAGCAGTCAGAGAGAAGAGCTTATTATTTTCTGAAAAGAGAAATACTTCAGCCCAGTACATTCTGTAAGTGCAATGGAATGTAGTGGGCCATATTCCTAGGAGAGAGGGAGTCTTTTGTAGTCCTAGGAATAAAAAAATTTGTGGAATTATTTTCTGTTTGGATATGAATATGGGAAATTCTTTAAATTGGTCATTTGAATTTGTTACATTTTTAATGTAACCTCCAAAACAACACAGTATGCCATGCTGAGGTACATCCCATGCCAGTTAATATAGCATTATTTCCAATAAGTATATATTGGTAATAACTTAAGAAAAAGAAAATTTACAATATTAATAATGGGACATGACTACTTTCTGATCTTATTAAAGTCAACTACTGGGTTGGGATAACATTCCAGCCTGACTCCATCTGGGGAAAAAGGAAAGTTTGTATACATCTGAATATCTCACTGGCTATTCAAATATATACAGAAATACTTTAGGAGGTATGCATATAAAATGTTAAGCAATAAATAAATATTTGTATAATTATTTTTTCTCCTTTCTTAAAGAAACAAGCACATAATGATTGATTTAGGCACAGGTAACAACAACAAAATTAACTGGGCAATGGAAGACAAACAAGAGATGATTGACATCATAGAAACAGTTTATCGAGGAGCTCGTAAAGGTAGAGGTCTCGTCGTGTCACCCAAAGACTACTCAACCAAATACAGATATTGACTTTTTGGCTGTTTATTTCAAGTCACGTTTCTTGGAAACTTCTTAAAACCAGACTTAATATAGGAAAATCTTCCGTGGTAACATTTCATGTGAATATATTGAACTGAGTAAATATGTTACCAGATTTTCATTGGAAAATGTCATTGATTGTGGAAATAAAGTTAAATTTTCTTTTGAATAAAGAACTTAAATGTGTCAAGTGCTTTCTAAAAACAATTCTACTTTTTTGATAACATATTGTTTCTTTTTAAAAATGTTTTTACTCTAGGAATGCATACAAACTTCCAGAATAGACCAGTCATCTCTCATGCCAGTGTTTAAAAAGCTGCTGTAGATGCCTAATCAAATGAGCCTAGTTTACCTTTGGCACAGATAGTTCTGAAAAATTAATTTATCTCACATTTCACATTTTCTGCTGTAAATTATCATGAAAGCCAGAGAAGAAACCTTGCTGGTGATACCCTGTTTCCCTGAAAATAAGACCTCCCCGGATAATAAACCCAATCGGGCTTTTGAGTGCATGCGCTAAAATAAGCCCCTCCAAAAAAATAAGCCCTCCTTGAAAATAAGCCCTCCCAAAAATACTTAAACACATGTGCAGCTGGTCCCCGCCATTTCCTCTGGTTAGGGTTAGGGAAACAGAGCTGGAAATCAGGTAAGACAGCAAGAGGAGCCCCGTCTTGCTCTATGTGCCCCCAAATAATAAGACCTCCCAGAAAATACGGCCAAGCGCTTATTTCAGAATTCAAAAAAATATAGGACAGGGTCTTATTTTCAGAGAAACATGGTATTATGACCTATAGATGGCACCTGGTTCTTGTGCCTTGATATCCTCTAGTATTTAGGATCTGCTGATTAAAATATTTTGGGTGCCTGTTCAAGCAGTATCAGAATGTAGGAACCAGAGATAAGCTTTTTGCCAGGATTTCAGGGGACCTGCTACTTAATTCCCAATGGGGCAGTTAATGAATTGTCACCAAAATGACTGCCTGCAGAGACAGTTCTTTTTCAGATGACAGGCTGAATGACTATGGATGGGAGGCTACATCTGGTTTACAGGCCATAGATTGCCAATCCCTGAATTTCTCTCAGCACCCATGCTATTCTCTGAATGTTGAGTAAGGTGTTTTTAATCTGGGTGGTTTTCAGTATTAAAAATTTTTAACTGCTGGAGATCACTGTGTAAGAAACCTTGAGTTCTTACAGGGAAAGGTGAATCAGAAAATTAACAATACTTTAAACAACATGTTGAATATTACACCAAAAATCCTGACCCCCCAAAAATGTGATCCCTAAATACTTAGTTATACTTCAAAAACATGATCCCATTTGAACATGTTTGTGTAATGAATTCAACTATGTGCTCCTTAGGCAATGCTATTAAACATACCAAAAGTGGGTACAAAATATATGGGCTTATATATCAGCATAAAACAGATCAGTTCACATACTGTAAACCACTGTGTGATCTTTTTATTTTTTGCTTAGTGTGATTGACAAATTGCAATTTATAAATAATATTTTATAACTTAGAGCACAAATATATCCAGTTTTTGCTTACTTATTAAATCATGGCGAACCAAACTATGACTTAGCATGATATATGAAAAACGTCATCCAGGTTCAGGTTATATTTCTGACATCATTCAGTTATCTAATTTCCTAAATTCATTTGCTAAAAATCATAATTGTGTTCTTAGTAAATACATACGCTGTCCAACTCCCAACAATTTGGGCAGTTCACAAGCAAAAACACCAAAGGAACAATATAATGCAATAAAAACAAGGAACAAAAGTCCTTACAAAAGGTAAAAAAGGAAGGAGAGGACAGAAGTAAAAGTACCCACTCCTTGGAAGATATTACATCCATTGTAGTCAAAGGTCAGGGCAAAGAGCCAGGTGGTCAAGACCCTTTAAAACAGAGGTCTTCAAACTTGGCAGCTTTAAGACTTGTGGACTTCAACTCCCAGAATTCTCCAGCCAGCTATGCAATTCTGGGAGTTGAAGTCCACAAGTCTTAAAGCTACCAAGTTTGAAGACCTCTGCTCTAAAACAACAACATAAAACACCTAGTGCTTGTGGAGAACCTCATTCCAGAGGGCAGGCACTCCAGCAGAGAATATGCACTTCTGGGTGCTGAGAGATGACATTGCTTAATCAAAAGAACTGGAATATGCATAACCTGAATCAAATCTGCTAGTTACTAGAGAGGTAGGCAGTGCTTCAAGTAATCAGACCCTGTGCTATGTAAGATTTCATAGGTGATTACCATCACCTTGCATCTTACCCAGAAACAAACGCAACTAGGGCAGTTCACAAAGCAGGGATATTACACAGGCATATCAAAGCATATCTGTTGCTGCCCATGCCTCTGCATTCTGGATCAACTGAAGCTTCTGCGTAGTCTTCAAGGACAGTTCCATGTAGGATGTGTTGCAGTAGTTAAACCACGAAGGGCCTCCTATTCTAGGAATATTATTCTAAAAATCATAGTAGAAATTGTTCAGAACTCCATTAGTGACATACAGCAATATGAGTTCAAAACATCTGATCCCAATAGACGAAAGCTAATCGAAGTAGAGATGACACGAATTTTACCTATTAGCATGGACTCTTAATCCGCTTTCTTTGTACTTGATAGTTTTAACATCTATACATGATGTACCAAGAAAACGAACTTTAAGGAAAAAATGGAAACTACACTTGGTATAAAAGCTTATATACAAAAAAGTGTATGAATTGTCATGAATTCAATGTTAATATGAAGCCAGTTTTCAACCTTTAATGTCACTCTTAAACAAAAAAATTCATAAGGAAAATTTTCCTTATTTATGTATTTATCAAATTACTGCCCATCACACTTGTGTGATTCTATATTATAGCAGTAATACAGGCCAGAAATATTTACAACTTGATTTTTCTTTGTAGCCAATGATGTAGTATAGAAAAACATTGCTTGTGTATCCATTAGTTATATATAGTCTTAACAAAATATCTTAAAATTGTACAAACGTAGACCATACTTAAGTATTCATGTTGCATGCAGGGTTTCTTTGATGCCTTCAGTTCTGCATAAAAATAATTAGCATAGAAACTGAATTAATATTAGGAAAGCCAAATATGAATTCATCAACTGTCTCTCAATCTTTGTACTTTCTTCCAACTGTGAATGAATATAAGACAAAACATTTATTTTCCAAAATTTTTAAAACACAGAAACATACTCTTAATGAGAGGTGATATTAGTTCAACATGTGGTGTCTGCTAAACCTTTTAATCACCTGAATTATTTTTGTACAAGTATGCATATTGATGCTTTCTTTACAAACAGGTGAGTTCTAGCATTCTTGCAATCACTCCAAAATTTTGCGCTTAGCTATAACTTTCATTCTCAGAATTCTAGTAAGCAAATGAATATGCTATGCCTGAGTTTTTAAAAGCTAAGGAAAGATGGATCTGCTAAGTTTTTAGATGGGAGATCTCAGGATTAATAGGTTAGACTGGGAAGTTGAAAGAAGATAGTGCAAACAATGTATGGTTCTATGGATTCATATTGAGTTTCAGTTGTGGAAGTTCTTACCCTACTATAAGCTACCGTAGTTGTGTTCTTGTGCTTCTATTAATGCAAACAAAAATTTGTTTTAAAGGAGGAGTTTCCTTCCCCTTTTGAATTGGTTATGATAAATTATACCAGATTTTTAGTTATTGCGACAAGTTTATATAAAACCAGAATCTCACCGTTCAGAATCTTCACTAGTATTTTCTATTCCAGCTTCAGCCATTAGTTCAGCAACATGCTTTTCCAAATCATTTATTCGTTCACCCATCTCATCCAGTAAAAGGTTAAAGAGCACTGCATTTTTAATTCATTTTTATTAGGAGTTTATATTAATCTATCTGAGAAACAAATACATGGTGCATATATATAACAGGATTCACATTTGGTTTCTTTCTATTGTAAAAAAAAAATCCAAAGTGCTGTTTGTTTTATTTTATCTTATTGGGTATAAAACAATTGTTTTCATACTTTTTGCCTTATCTGGTCTGAATGTATGCTACAAATATTAAAAGCTTATAATGTGTATAATATTGTAGTTAAAGTGTTTCAAGACTGAACATTATCTGAGATCTTCAAATATAATTGTTGAGGCAAGATTATTAGTTTACTTTAAAAGAATATTACTACTATTTAATAGTTTCCTGTATACTGTCAATCCTGTCTCAATTCATAAAGTTGAAGAGGAATCTATAACCATAATCTCCTATGTAGGAGGATCTAATGTATTTAAATTGGTAACTTAACCATTAATAGTATTTAAGAATGATGGATAACTCTTGTATTATAAACTGACAATTAATTTTATAAAATTGATATAAATTTCCTAGACTTACTGCCATATGTGACATTCCATTTTTAGATTCTTAAGTGTGGATCTCCACATAAGCTCCATAAGTATTTTCAGGAAACAAAAATGATGAGAGGCTAAAATCTAGTGTTTTGTTTTAGAAAAATGCCATTGTGTATAAAATTCTTATCAGAAAATAACCTGATGGATATACTCTAGTTCCCAAAATCATTCCCTATCATCTTCAAGTTTACCTTTGCCCTGTTTTGTACTTGACAGGTGAACTCAAAATCATAAACATATTTTGGAAACATTTAGGGATTAGCCAAGCTAATTACAAACAATTTCACATTTTAGAAAAGGATCCGAAAAGGATATTTTGTAGAGATAATTTATCAGTCAGGTCTTCAAAGTTTTCTTGCAGCTGTTGTAGGAGATTTTCTGCCTATAGGTGAAAAAAGTATACCTATGATGTTAGACAAGTTATCACTTTAAGTTACTTCCTGGGCTCATCCAGCCTTAGCAGCATTATTGTTTACAGTGCACAAAAATAAATGGTAGTTTATTATTTGAGGAACTGAGCTTTATTTCATCTACTGAGTATGATAAAGGAGGGAGTTCCCCTAAAATAGCTAATATATTTGTGAAAATACTAAGATCTATAAAAGGAGTTATAAAAAGCAAGTGTCACATAAAACAGAATATGAAATGCAGAGATTACACCTAACTTTTCTATGGAAGTGTTCTTATAAGTCGATAATATATTGTAATTATTATATAGTGTTTTATTATTTTATTTTATTAATTTCATACAGTATTACAGAGTAAGGTATTTTTTTATTTAGACATTCTTGAAAGAAATCCCTTGGGTTAAGAACAAATTGGCCTCATCCCCACTCCAAGGCATGAGAGTTAAGAGATGTAGAAACTTTCTGAAAATCTTACAACTTTCCCCAAATGTGGCTCTCTCTACCGATACTGGATCCCAATGCCACAATCTTAGGTTATGAGGATCAAAACGCACCAGAGATGGGTTGTGGAGGATAATTTTTATGCAATGACCATCACTATCTGCCAGCTGAGGATACCATGCCTGGTAGATTTATGCATTATGATAGGTAGGATGCAGTAGGTAAAAATAGGTAGGTCAAAGGATGCAGGGGATGCAGGGAGGCAGCTATAAATGCCATCTTCCTTATCCATACAGGAGAATATTTGTAGCTCATGGTTGAAATGAGGGATTCTTAGTGCGCTCTGTGCTTGGTTGTTGCAGAGGTTCTATTATCCAAACTAGGCAATATCATCTAGTAAAGATGTTACAACTGACTAGCACTGATGATGTTACCTAGTGTAGGTAAGAACAGCTAGTTCTCGATTTACAAGTGTTTGTTTAGTGACCATTCAAAGTTACAACAGCACTAAAAAAAAAACCAACATATGACCGTTTTTCAGTTATGACCTTTGCAGCCTCCTCACGATCCTGTGATCAAAATTCAGGTGTTTGACAACTGGTTCACATTTATGACCGTTGCTGTGTCCCAAGGTGATGGGATCACTTTTGGTGACCTTCTGACCAGCAAAGTCAATGGAGAGCCAGGTTCACTTCACAACCAGGCTATTGAGTTAACAGCTACCACGATTCACTTTAACAACCGCTGCAAGAAAGGTCGTAAAACGGGGCAAAACTCACTTAACAAATGCCTCACTTAACAGAAACGTTGGGCTCCCTTGTGATCATAAGTTTGAGGACTACCTGTATTTACATCTGTGGGCTGCCTGAAAAAGCCACCACCCATCCGACTTGTGCACGATACCAGCGCGATCGGCAAAGCCTGGGACGAGCGGCGGGGGTACTCACAAAGTGAGAGAGCTCCTTGGCGCTTGGCGGGTCGTTGTCCGCCATACCCTCTTTCTCCACCTGCGACACCGCCGCCGCCGCTTTATTCGCCCGGTCTTTTCTACTCCAATTGCCGCCCCGGACGGGAGGGAAGCGGCTCCGGAGATAAAACCGCCTCCCTGCCGCCCTCCGAGCTGACCAGGTGGGCTTTCTCTTCGTCGGCGCTGTTACACGACTACGATCTCCGGCGCTGGGGAGGAACCAATGCGAAAAGCGACGGGGACTTTTCCACTCCTCCATGCCACGTGCCCGACGCGTCATTATTTTGGTTGCCTGAGATTCGGGAGATTACAAAGGGTATTAAGTTTCCCTCACGGAATTTTTATTCCCAGCTGACCTCTAAGCAGAGAAAATATCAATTTTTTCCCTCCCAGTTTTTAAACTTTGAAACATGTCATTGGTTGCTAAACTGAGCCTTGGGCTATGCTCGATGGTCAGTCTAAATTAGTAGAGGAGTTACCCAAGGTTGGATGATAAGCTGCCAGCTAGAGAGGTGTTGAGTTGTCTGGTTGTTGATTTAATTTAATTAATTTAATTTAATTAATTCAATTTATATGCCGCCCCTCTTCGAAGAATAGTACCGAAGATACGGTACTATTGTTATTCATAGAAGTATTAAAGTAGTATTTAATTGTTTTTATTGTTTTAATATTTTTTTTTAGTATTTTGCTTGTAATATATATTTAAATTGTAAGCCACCCAGAGTCCTCGACTGAGATGGGTGGCTATAGAGAATGAATGAATGAATGAATGAAAAAAATATTCCAGTGATACAGTTGGAGTTTTCTTCCCCCACTGTGGTAGCAGTCCTAAAAAAACTGCCTGGGAGTTTGATGCTTTTGGTGTTGGAAAAGACTCCTGAGAGTACAGCCAAGAAAATGAACAAGTGGATCATTGAACAAATCGACCAAGTTCTCACTAGAGGCACAAGTGACCAGGCTCAAAATTGCCTTACTTTGCACACATTGTGCAGAGACCTTTCTCTCTGACAAAGGCTCTAATGCTGAGAAAGATAGAAGGAAAGACAAGAAGGCTATTGCTTAACGCATTGTAAGCCGCCCTGAATCTCCGGAGAAGGGCGGCATATAAATTAAAGCAAAGAAGAAGAAGAAGAAGAAGAAGAAGAAGAAGAAGAAGAAGAGGAAGAAGAAGAAGAAGAAGAAGAAGAAGAAGAAGAAGAAGAAGAAGAAGAAGAAGAAGAAGAAGACAACCAACAGCAAAGTAGATTGTTACAGTGTGATGGTTGGAAGACCTGAAAGACCAGGTTAGAGACCAATTTTTATGGGGGCGGCGGGAATCTATCTACAATATGTGATTAATTGCTAAGAGTTTATAGCAATGTAGTGACCCATAATCAGTCACTTATGCATATACGCTGCAAATGCTTCTTTCAAGAGAAGAGCACTTCGGTCAAATGATATTCCATCTTTCATTCACGAGCTCAAGATAGTCTATATAATGCTCCCATTCTTGTTTTTCCCCATAGCAACTGTGTATATAGTTCTGGATGTAGAAAGGTTGCATATTGCATATGCTACCACCAATAGCCTCTCACCGGCCAGTACGCTCCCATAGAGAGGGGCTCCTCCGGGTGCCATCGGCCAAACAATGTCGACTGTTGGCCCCTAGGGGGAGAGCCTTCTCTGTGGGGGCACCTACGATCTGGAACAAGCTCCCCCCAGAGATACGGAGGATCCCAGATCTGTGCACCTTCCGTCGCGCGCTCAAGACTTTCTTATTTCATCAGGCCGGCCTGGTCTAAATCTTCTCCCCTTTTTAAATGTAAATTTTAATTAGTTTTTAAATTATTGGGTATTTTAAATTTGTTTCAGCCAAATTATTTAATTCATTTTATTCTATTTTAAATTTTTGTATTTATGTGTTTTATTCTGTGGCTGTTCACCGCCCTGAGTCCTTCAGGAGTAGGGCGGTATAGAAATCTAATAAATAAATAAATATTGTGCAACCTAAAGGTTTCTGTAAGTGCATAGCACGTGAATGGAACAAACCTATCTTGCCGGAACAGAAATTATTGCTTAATGTGTTTACTGTGTACATCCAGAAAGCCTTAGGCCAAACATAAGTAGTCTATCCTAGTATAAAATATATCTATTTTGTTTGTTTGCCATCATCTCAACACAAGGAGACTCTGCCAAAATCCTAATATAAGAAATATTATAGTGAAATTACATTGAAGATCAGCTAGGTCCAAATAAATCATAATTTTAATACCAGGAGCTGTTTATTTGGAAAAAGAAGGGTATTCTCGGAAGCTGTACTGCTTATGCTGAAATTATGATGCGTAATGTAATTCAAATCAAGATGAAGAATTAAAAAATAAAAAGCAAGCCTGGAACTAGGATAATATTACAGACATAGTATAGAGATGAAGATCAAAGACCAAAAAGTATATTTTTGCTAATAGCATTTTAAGCCTTGCAACTATAACATTAAAATATTAACTTTATATCACAAGTATTTTCAAAAATATCAGTTTAAAATACATTTTCCTTAATCTGGTGAGAAAAGAGAGATCATAAGAAAAGGCAAGACTAATACCCTACCATCTTAAACTCACAAAACCGGTAACAGATCTTTAAAGTTTGTTGCAAGAAAAGAAGGTGACAACCTGCCTGACCTTGTTTGGCTTCAAGCCTAAGCAGGGCTGAGATTGGTTAGTCTTAATATGAGTTTTCTCCAAGGAATACAGATAGTCCTTGACCTGCAACCATTTGTTTAGTGACCATTCAAAGTTACAACAGCACTGAAAAAAGTGACTTATGGCCATTTTTCACACTTACAACTGTGGCCGCTTCCCCATGGTCATGTGATCAAAATCCAGCCACTTGGTAACTGGCATGTAATGATAGTTACATTATCCTGGAGTCATGCAATCACCTTTTGTGACCTTCTTACAATCAAAGTCAATGGGGAAGCCAGATTCACTTTACAACCTTGTTACTAACTAAATAACTGCAGTGATTCACTTAACAGCTATGGCAAGAAAAGTTGTAAAATGGGCCAAAACTCACTTAACAAGTGCCTTGCTTAGCAATGGAAATTTTGGGCTCAATTGTAGTCATAAGTCGAGGACTAGTATCAGAACTATGGGCTAGATTTCAAAGTTTTTTTTAAAAATCTAAAAGCAAACCACTTCCATATTGTTGCCAAGAAAACTAGATGCATTTGTCTGTGAAGTCACCAGGAATCAAGTTTAATCATTTACTCAAATGAAAGTGGTGATATTTCAATGGATCTGCCATTAGATGGTGGATTTTTTTTACGTAAGAGCTAAGGAACAGAAGTGACACACCCTCCTAGTCACCCTTAAGTATATAGATGGCTTGCATGCACTGAAGAAACATATGAGACTAGCAGGACAGGTTTTACTAGAACAAGGGCATTTTTGTTTGTAATAGCAACTCTGTTCTGGGTCACCTAACTAGGAAGTTGGGAAAGAGCAATATCATGGTGCACTCAGAAGCATTCTGAGAAGCTGCCCAGGGAATTTTTTGTCATCTGTATATTCCCCAACCAGATCAGCCCATTTCAAATTGATCTCCCTTTTGCTGCTTCTTCCCCAGTCCTTTCATGGCAAATTTGGCTAGTTCTGTCAGTATTCAGAGACTTATCCTGCTGACAGACAGGATGGTGAGCTCATATACATATTTCTTTTTCAATTTTCTGTTGAGTTGGAAAGGGTAAAAAAGAGAATCCAATTAGATTAAGTAAGGAATTGATTTTTTTTTTTAAAAAAATAGTGGATTGAGGTTTTTTTTATTTACACACCAGGGAAAGCAATTTTTCTCCAAATTACATGTGAATTGAAGAAATCTTATTTTGTCTAAGGATACTGGGAGATGCTATTGAAAACCAACACATGGAGGAGTGTGCAATTGACTGCAGAGCTAGCTAATGAAAAGGTGGGTGCCTCTGAAGATTAGCTACTGCTTGGAAGATCTGGAGTGCTTGCTGAATTGTAGCATCTTCACAGGAGTCTGGATTTGATAGGGGGGAGGGAGAGGGAGGGGGGAGAGAGGAAGGGAGAGAGAAAGAGAGAGAGAGAAAATAGTAAGCATTTTTTGCTGCTAGTAAAGTAAAAAAAAACACTGTTATTTGTGGGGGTCAGCCAATGCAAAATGATTGGGATAACAGGAGAACGTTTTGTCTGGCTCTCTTCGAATCTGACATTTATTTATTTATGCCGCCCTTCTCCGGAGACTCAGGGCGGCTTACAATGCGTCAAGCAATAGCCTTCATACTTTTGTATATACCTGCTTAGTAGGGCTTTCACACACCCCCCCCCAGCGGTGTTCTTTTTTATACAAAGTCAGTTTATTGCCCCCACAAACCGGATCCTCATTTTACCTACCTCGAAAGGATGGAAGGCTGAGTCAACCTTGAGCCTGGTGAGATTTGAATTTGCAATAATTGCAGGCAGCTGGTGTTATTTAACAGTGCTTTAGTCTGCTGCGCCACCAGGGCTCTTGACAGTAGCACTGATAATTTTTCGTCAATATTTAAGTTAGTTGGATGGTCACTAGCCTCTGTCAAAGGTTGAACTCTAAATGTAGGTGTGGCCAAGGTCCCTTTGGGGTGGTAGGTCAGGAACTTTAAGAGGAAAATGAATGAAAAATCTGTACGCTTTAACACAACCATTGTGACCTTTAAAATCCCCAGTATCCAAAAAAAGAAAAAAGGCACTATTTTTTAAAAAATTCATCGATTTTGAAGTATCTATGGAGTTCACCAAGGGTAGACTAATTGGTGGCTTTTTGTACTTGTTCTGTGGGATAACTTACAAAATGCTGTTCTTGGATCTTGAAGGAATACGAAGCAGAAATAAGACTTATATCTTCTGGATTTTCTCCCAGATATTCTTTTGCATCTAGTTCTCTAATGTTAGAAATTTGGCATGTTTAATTCCATGAAAATTGGAGGGGAATTTCTTGAGCTTTGTGGATCCAATACACACCAGAAGCTAAACTGGTATTTTAATTGCCAGTTTAGAAAGTAAACAAGAGTTCCGCTGATTGTGTTATTTTTACTTCATTTATATAACAACACACTTTATGAGCCAGTTTGGTGCAGAGCAGTACTTCTCAACTTTGAGAAACTTAAGATATGTGGACTTCAACACTTTCAACCTGCCAAGATTGAAAAACACTGGTATAGAGGTTAAGGCATTAGATTAAAAACTAGGAGACGGTGAGTTCCAGTTCCACATTAGGCCCAAAGCCAGTTGGGTGTCCTTGAGCCAGTCAGTCATTCTCACTCCTAGAAGGGCGGCAACAGCAAACCACAGCTGAAAAATTTTCCCAAGAAAGTTGCAAGGACTGGTACTAATTCTACCGTCCTCCCAAACTCCCCTCTATGAACTCAGGACATTGAGTTTAATGAAAAGATACATATCCTAACTTCAGCTCATATACGAAGACTCCAAGTCAGCTTGTATGGGTTTTTTTTTCCTACACACACATTTACTCTTGTAATTTCTGCTGCTGAAAGACGGCTAATTTATTTCATTTTATTTTATGTGATAAAACATTTGATAAAGGAAAAGCTCTTTTGACCTTGTAACACTTTTGAATAATAACGTCTCTCTCTATATTATCAAGTTCCAGGGTACATGGTTTCCACTTTATGGAACAGCATGAGAGCTGGGCCTCCTGTTTTTACATTTCCTTCCTGTCTCAGCGGGTGTGGTTTCTGCAAGACATTGTTGATTGGGGCTGCTTCCTTGCTCTTGGTGCCAGTTCTATATAGTTTCTTAGAAGCAAGTCCTTTGAACTACATATATTGGATTTATTGCTGGATAGAGGTAAATAGTTTTACAGAACACTTAAAAAAAACCCTGCAAGTTGCTAGTTTTATGGAGGTTTTATGGAGGTTTTTTTAAAAAACCAGAAAGGTTTAAAGTTACATCACTTCCAATGAAGGATGCCTTGAATATTTCATAGGAAGCTGAGACATAATTACCAACTAGTATCAGTAGGCAAGAATTTACATAACTAGTTAAAATTTATAGTTTTGTACACCACCACTGTTGGAATTGGTTTGCTGTAACAAATTTGAATACTAATAATAGGAAACAACTCTAAGGTATTTAATGCAAGCCCAACCCACACACACACACACATTTTCTTTCTTCAACACACTTCTTCAGTTAAAAATAGTATATTACCCTTGTTGGTGATTATGACATTTTAAAGAAGCGTTGGAAGCAGCTCCGATCTATTTATATTCTACACGAAACATGCTCACTTTGTTTCAGGAAGACTTCGTGATAATATGACATTATTATATGATATGATATGACATTATTATATTATATGATAATATGACATTATTATTATATCTACTATTTTCCCAACAACTTTCTTTTCTCGTATCTGACGGGGAAGGGGGAAAAATCTCATTATTTTAGGTGGGGGGCGGTCCCCATCTAAATCCTTGCTTAGCAGAGAGAGAACGATCCCGGGCTTCTCTTTTGGACATATGAGATTTCCCCCACGCGTTTCCCAGGATTTTAGCGAGTCTCCTTCTCTCAGGAACGGGTCGGACGCTAGGACCCAAACGGCGAAAGGCCAGGAAGGGCGGGTTACTTCATAGACGGAGGCGCTTCAGCTTCTAGTGATGTCATAGAGGCGGGGCTCATTTTCTCGCTGCTTGGGGGCTGCCGCTGCCAGCTCCTTGTTTCCAGTCGCCCAGGGAGGCGGCGGCAGCAGCAGCAGCAGCAGCGGCGGCGCCTGTGGCTTTGGGAGCCCCGGGCAAAGGAAAAGGGCGCAGCGCAGCTGTGGCTTCAGCGCAGTCTAGAAGCGGGAGCGGCGCCCCGGGCTGGGGCTCCCTCGAGCAAGAGGGGGAGATGCGCGGTTCTTGGGGCGAGGGGCCTTGGAGAGAGCCCAGGTAAGGAGAGGGCGAGCCCCCCTGCCCTGCAGGAGCCCCCATTTCTTCCTCTTTCCGGGAAAGGTTTGGCCGCCCCTCTGCCTTTTGGAAGCCGGGCAGTTTGGCGGAGTTGCTAAGGGAGCGTGGAAAGGAAGCAGAAGTCGCGGTTGGTGTCAGAGCCGCGGTTGGCCATTCAGAGAGGAGTGGAGAAAAAAAAACCACTTAGTTTGGGAAAGTGGCTTTTTTTACTTCCTCTCGCTTTCTTTCTCTCTCTCTTCCCTCGTAAGGCGGGGACTGTGGCTAAAATGATCTTCTGGCTAAAAGTCTCAGCTGGGACTCCATAATTTGGGGTGCCAGTTATTGACAATCTGGTCTGTTCAGCTGAGGAGGCAGAAAGTCTGAAGGGGAGTCTTACCTTCTCCAGTTCCTGGGACCTCTCCTCTAGGAGCCGAGAGGGCAGACTTGTTTCTTTCATCTCTTCATTTCACTCCTTTTCATGATTTCATAGATCAATCTCTTCCTATTCTTCTTGCTTAACTGTACATGTGGTCTTTGCAACCATTCGTTTAGTGACCGTTCAAAGTTACAGCGACACTGAAAAGAGTGACTCGTGACTATTTTTCACACTTATAACCGTTGCAATCTCCCCATGGTGATATGATGAAAATTTGGATGTTTGACAACTGGCATGTATTTATGACAGTTGAAGTGTCAGGGGATCATTTTGCAATCTTCTGACAAAGTGAATGGGGAATCTGGATTCACTTTACAACTGTGTGACTCACTTAACAACTGTCTCGTATAGCGATGGCAATTTTGGGCTTAGTTGTAGTTGTAAGTCGAGCAATACCTGTATTAATTTTCCTCGACAAGCAGGTAGTTGACAAGAAGTTAGTAGGGCATGTTTTGAGAATTACTTAGAATAATTAAATGAGATTTTTAAAGTTGCGTGCCCTGCAGGGGAATTGGGTCTACAGGTCCCAGAATTTCCTGTGATCTGACTGGGCATTCTAGGAGTTGCAGCTGTTGCATTTGTAGGGTGTGTGTGTGTGGGGAGAAGGTGAGTTTGTTGATTAAAAACAATTTTGATTGTTGGAAATAACTCCTAATGAAAGGAAAACAATGACAATGTAATTGGTTAAATAAGAAAGTTATTAGGAGTTCAATTGGCAAGTGAGATATTTTGAAAGAGATTTTCTCTCATGTAGAAGGAGGAATGCTTCTTGCTTATTTTCTGAAAAGGGATAATTTTAAAATACTCTATAACTGCTAATTTGAGTAAAAATCTTGTTTGTATTGCTGTTGACCAAATACATCAATAGCAGTTTATCAGTCTCTAGAATTTTTACTAATTAAAACTCATGATTATAGGAATTCTCAACCATGGAAAATTATTTTCTAAGAGGTGAGTCATGTTAGTTTATGATGACTAAAAATCTAAAGGAATCTGGTAGCACCTTTCTCAATTAACACATCTAATTAAAAGTTACTAAATTGCTTCTGATTTGTCTGTCATTGAAATATGTGCATTTTTATTATGGACAGTAGTTGTCTTACAAGTATCAATCCTAAAAGTGTTACATATTTATGCCATTACCGGTAATTATAAGTGTGCTATCCAACCTGTGGATTTTTTTACTATATTATAAAACTATGCAGACCTTTAATGCAATTAATTTGAAAAAGCTTGCTAGGCTGGAACAAATGAGCACATTTTATATCATGAGTATATTAACCGATAAGTTTTAGTAAGTATATTTTGTTAGAAAACGTATTTTTTAGGATTATTAAACTTTCCCATTCTTGACAATTCAGATATTTTGTTTGAATGTCAGCATGGTGGAGCAAGCTCTAGTTTAGACAAATAGATTGCCTTTTCCTCTAGATCATTATGATTTAACTAATTACTTTTTTTCCTCTAGATCATTATGATTTAACTAATTACTTTCTAATTATGCAACTGAATATTTCCAGGCAAGTTTTCAATTGTCTCATCTCACTTTGTTTTTCTAGTGTTGCTTAAAGAATGGCATACAACCTATTGGAAGATTAATCAGATATGAATATAAGTCAGTAAATCCTGAGGAAGTAAAAAAGGGGCTTCCCTTTTGTTACCAACTGTCCTCATGCTAAGGGACATCATTCTGCCCATGATGGAAGCAGATGGCTGGGAATGGCTGGTAACTGCAGTTCAACAGCTGATATCCTGGGGAGCTTCGGCAGCCATGATGTTTGGAGGTGTGGTGCCATACATCCCTCAATACCGAGATATTAAAAGGACACAGAACGCAGAGGGCTTTTCAACCTACGTGTGCTTAGTATTATTAATTGCAAACATTTTAAGGATACTCTTTTGGTAAGTTGTTTCTTTTTTAAAAACTAAATTTCTCTCTGTACTTCCGGATGATATGGATACCTGAAAAAAGAAAAGTGTGTGTGTGTATGTGAAAGAGAGAGAGAGAGAGAGCGAGAGCAGGAGAGAGAGAGAGAGAGATTGATTTACTGTGCTGCCAAATTCCATGAAACTCCTTTGAAGTATAAGTAATATATCAGCTGTATTTGGCCTCCCTCTGGGTCCTTTGTCAATATTGCATGAGTATATTCAAAAGGATAACTTGGCTGAAACCCAGATGGCATTTTTGTGGTTGCCCTAAACCTGTGATACCTAATGAAAGTCCTAAATTTGTGATATCTAATATTTTGAAATATACTGTATATGCTGTATTGGAAAGCTTGCATATTTTTGTCAGCCTGAAGTTGTCAGGATTTGAAAACGTGTAAGCCTAAACAAAAGCTCTTTTGAAATTAGCTGCGGAGGCTTTAGCAATATTCATCTAGCAGACATAGTATAAGCTTAATGAACAATTAAATGTATTATGAAGAATAAGGCTATGTGGCATTTTAGAACTGAAGGGAAAAAGATCCTTTAAGAGCAGGCAAACACCAATCGGACTTGACTGCAACTCCTTAAATCAAAAGTGTCTTTACTTCAGATCAGATGGCGGTCTTGTGACTCTTGGGAAATGACAAAGTTGTTTTAAGGGATTGCAGTCAAGTGCTGTGTATTTATCCCCATATATGCCAAAGCACTTTTTACCATTGACTTTGAAGTCTGCTCAGCCCTACCAAAGAATAGCCTCAATTAAATAACATTTTTTTTAAAAAGGTAAAAGTTTCTTCTGTCCATTTGTCTCTGACTCTAAGGGTCAGTGCTCATTTCTGTTTCCTAGCCTAGGGAGCCAGCATTGTCCGAAGACGCTTCTGTGGTCATGTGGACAGCATGACTATATGCCAGGGTGCACGGAATACTATTACCTTCCCACCAAAGTGGTACCTATTTATGGGCATTTTATGCTTTTGAACTGCTAGGTTGGCAGGAGCTGGGGCAGAAATTGGAATTCACCCGGTCACATAGTGCTTGGGTCTCGAATGGCCAATCTTCCAGTCAACAAAGCCAGCATAATTAATTGCCCCCCCAATTAATTATCTGAAATGAAATGATACAGTATTATGTGAATACTGTGTTCACAGTATTCCACTAGTCCATTTCTTCAATCTGTAGATTGTTGTGGCTAATTGAGAAAGTTTGGAGCTTTAAACCCTCACTGCTTACAGCACAAGGTTTTGTAGACTATTGTGATCAGCAAAGGTTTATATAATATTAGAATGACAATGACGACTTTCAGGTTTTCGCTGAATAAGCATATATATCTTTCTGGAAACTGGCTGTTCGTTATGGGTTATGTACAGGATACATGTTTCAATTATACAGCAGCATTGTAAAATTCTCTTCTACATGTCATATTCCTATGAGAAAGTGCCAAGCAATAAAAATAATGAAATGTAAAATTAATCTAATTTTAAAATTCACATTATATTTCCTGAATGCATTTCAATGTAGCTCGTGCTAATCATGCATACACTAGAATGCAGCAAAAAGCTCTGTTTGATGATAACTGCCTAGTTTGGGATAATTCACAAATTATCAGGTTATGGCAGACCTAATTTATGTGTAGGAATTTATTACTGTATGTACTGTGTCTGTCATATAACATTTGAAATGTAACAACATGGGTCTTAGTATCAAAGAGCTCTATGGTTTAGTGGGTGGATGAATAGCACAGTCATCTCTCAGCCTTTTCTTCAACTTCAGAAGACTTTCATCCTGGTCTTGAAGCAAAGCATCTTTCATCACAATATAACTGATCAATGTTTATGACTAAACATAAAGGGAACCATTAGCCCTATGTATTTAGTTTGATCATAAATCTTTGGGGGAAGGGCTTTCCTCAGATTTTAATTTGGTTATAGATGACCTTTTAGGAAGTATTGCTATAACTTAAGAATGTAATGCGGAATAAAGCACTTGGAGACAAATAGAAGTATTGTTTTTTCTTGTGATTGCCTTAAATTTATCTTATCTACCATCAGGATCTGACCTTCAAAAAAGATTGGCTGCTACTTACCTTTTTCTTTCTTTGCTGCCTGAAGAAGAATTAGGGTACAAATTGTATAATTACATAAATTTGTGCAGTTCAGGAATATCACTCTTTATGCAGTTTATGTGATGTTCCTTAGCATAAAATATATATTTTATAATTTCTGTTTTTAAATCAGACCAAACAGATAATGTAAGCTTGGACATAACCATCTGTTTTTAAACCAGGATTTGATAAGATTATGAAATGTTAGGCCCTCTTTTCGCTAAAGATTAATTGTTTTTTGTGGCCAGTAGAAAACACAGCTCCAACCTTGCCCCAGCTCTGGGAAAGAATAATTGGCAAAAATAAGGAACAAGGAAGGCAGAACAGGCTAGTTAGGTTATATAGCCTACCTAAATGCTTTCAGTTTGAGTGTTAAGACAAGGGAAGCACTGAGCCCAGAAACCCCTCCCTTAAAACTAGACCTAAATCATATAACAGCACAAGACTGTTATAAGATGGGCTTTTCAGATTCATTTATCATTGACAGATGTTTAAAAAGATGGACTGGTGACTTTAATGGTGCATTTCTTTTATGCTAGTTGCAGAACCTTCTTTCTGATGATGGTTGTATTTTTGCTAGTGGTGAGTGGGATCAGTGCTGCTTTCTCTCCTCATACCTTTTTAGATTTTATAATTAATTATGGGGGGAAAGACTGCATTTTAAAAGATTTTTAAAAGATTGACTCATGTAAGCTTTTCACTTCCAAGCTGCCCTGTTATAGCAAAGTTCAAGAAAAGGCAGATAATGTTTTGAAACTCACTTTTGTGTTTTCTCTAGATATCTTTTGCCTCTCTCACACACACAGAACAAGGCAATTGTACATTAGCCTCTAATAGATAATTGGATCAAAACAATTTACTATGATATTTAATGGAGATCCTATCGTTTGTATTAATACATGCTGAGAGAAAGTTCAGGAAATGAAGAATTGTATTGGTGTTCATTGTTATTGAATCCTGTTGAATTGTTAATGGGTTGCTTTTAGAGAAAGGATGCTCAGATTTCTCAATTTACTTTGGTTTACAGCAGTGGTGGGTTCCTCCCGGTTTGGCCCTGTTCGGCTGAGCCCGTAGCGGTGACGATATGATGTCACCGAACCGGTTCTGCCCCCCTACCGCCCGCACTCCTCCTGCATTATTCTTACCTTTTATTTGGCCCCACCCCCAATCTATTGCTGCCTCCTGAGTCCCAGCTATCGGCTAGAGGGGAAAAAACTGTTTAAACTCTTGCTGTGGGGCTTCAAAGGGCCGCCCTACAGCTGATCAGTGTTAAAAGAAAACAAATGAGTAACCAGTGCCTGCAAAAATAAATGGGTAGACCAGTGCCTGCAAAAATAAATGGGTAGACCAGTGCCTGCAAAAATAAATGGGTAGACCAGTGCCTGCAAAAATAAATGGGTAGACCGGTACAGCTCTGCAAGCAGTTAAAAGCCTGGTAGACCAGTACCTCTGCTAAATCCTAAAGAATTGTCACATGATCATCAAGCCACGTCCACAAAATAAGCCACGCCCACAGAAGCGGTAGCAAAAAATTTTAGAACCCACCCCTGGTTTACTGGTGGTTGTAGTCCTTGACTTACACCACAATTGAGCCCAAAATTTCTTTGCTAAGTGAGACATTTTGCCCCATTTTATGACCTTCTTTGCCACATTTGTTAAGCGAATCATTGCAGTTGTTAAATTATTAAATTACGGTTGTTGTGAATCTGGCTTCCCCATTGACTTTGATTGTCAGAAGGTCGCAAATCACATAACTCCGGGCACTACAACTGTCATAAGTCTGTTGCCAAGGATCTGACTTTTGATCATGTGACCAAGGGAATGCTGTAATGGTCATAAGTGTGAAAAAGGGTCATACGCAGAGGTGGATTTCAGCAGGTTCTGACCAGTTCTGGAGAACCAGTAGTGGAAATTTTGAGTAGTTCGGAGAACCAGTAGTAAAAATTCTGGCTGGCCCCACCCTCATCTATTCTCTGCCTCCCAAGTCCCAGCTGATTGGGAGGAAATGGGGATTTTGCAGTAACCTTCCCCTGCCACGCCCACCAAGCCACACCCACAGAACCGGTAGTAAAAAATTTTGAAACCTACCACTGGTCATAAGTCACGTTTTTCAGTGTTGCTGTAACCTCAGTTGGTCACTAAACAAACTGTTGTAAGTATTAAGCTACTTCTTTCTCTTTTCAATGGGCAATGTAATTGTGGCTTGTAGTTAAAAAACACTGTGAATGAAAATATTTTAAAATAATTAAATAGTTATTAAAAATTAACTATTTTTAGTTATTAGTTATTAAAAATTAACAGTTTGCCCTTGAAAGTAGGATATCCTGTTTAAAAGGCTTTAAGCATACATCTGTTCATATTTGTTTGCCTAGAATCATAAGTCATAACTATATATAGATTATAGTGCATTAATACTCCCCAGCTGCAATAAGAGTAGAATTATGATTATCATAAATCCAACATGCTACAGTAAAAATCAGTGTATGATTACTATGTTTCACAACTTTATTTTCAAATGTATATTGTTTATTAGCAAGAATTGTTACTGCTTATAGAGATTTTTGGAAGAACTTGAATAGCAAACATTTTGTCCTTATTTCATTTCTATACTGGTCTTTCTGTTAAGAGAACCAATATTTATTGCAAATCATACTCTGGGTTTATGATCAGAAATCTGTTGCTACACTCTATCGGTGTTCAAGACCAGTTATTCTGTCAACTTCACTAAATTGACACAAGCAAATTTCTTAGAGGGTAACTTTTAACCTGATTTTGAGGTTAATTCTAATTGTTGAGTAGACTTCATCTTAAATGTATCCTTTGCTTGGCTCACAATAATATTTGCTACAACTATATTGTTAAAAACATATCA